GCTTTATCTACAACTTCAGCGTCCTGGTTGAGAAGAAACCAGCCTCAAATTCTGCTGGGGATCAAGACCAGAGGACATGAGGTCACCAGCCAATCGCACAAATGGGACATGCAGAGGCCATGAGGAGTGTTCATCACTCCATCACAGCTGGAGTGAACCAGCTTTTGGTTCATTAAGCTGCTTTTTAAATTAAGAAGGCTGGAAAAACTACATATGAAGTGGCGTCCCAGATTTCCATCGACTGCTGTGTTACCCAGGGGATTCGTGAAGCTTTTCCCTCCGAGGGCCAGAGGTCTCCTGTGGCTCTGGGGCGACCGCTGCTGGGAGCTTTGTGTGGGTGTGACTTTGGGAAGGAGCACTCGGGGAGGGAAGGGTGGTTCCTCCTGGCATGAGCTGCCATTGGCTCCTGCAGCACTTTTCCTTCATAGCACTTATCACAGTTTGTAATTGCATATTTATGTGATTAATGTATTTTGCCTGGAAGGATCCCTGTCTGTTTTGCCAAAAATCCCCAGGAGGATGGGGATTATGATTTTTTTTGTGTCTGCAGTGCATAGCACATTGTGCAGCTTACAACAAGCATGTGATAAATATTTGCTAAAGGAAAGTGGGATGTATAAATATAGGTTAACCTCAACATGCTAAAGGCACTCTGCTAAAGAGTGCAAAAAATCTCTCAGAAGTAATCTCCTTTTTATTATGTGACTCTGCCTCCCGTATGGCCCAAGTGATGAAAATTCCCTTCCTCTTATGTTCACACAGAGGACTTCAGCTTCTATGGGGCTTCCTCCCCCAACTCTAACTTTTCCAGGTAGTCAACTTTTTTTTCCCCTCCAAAGGAAACCTTATGTTGATTCTAATCCAAAACCAATTGAAAATTGAGTTGCTCGTGGTGCAGTGGGAGTAGGGGGCAGAACCCTCACAGGTCTCCCCTTTGTGAGTTCCTAAGGCATCTCCAGTGATCCTGAGTGTTCTTGGTTTGAAAATCCCACGCTGGGGGTCCCAGAGGATCCCCCTAGCTGGGGACATGGGCCTCTGAGACTCATATTCAGTGGGACCTGGGCCTTCAGACCTTGTCTCAGACTCAAATGTTGGGACTACACTCAGATCCCCAGAGGTGGCCTACCCACAACGCACGTTCCGGTTCTTAAGAGAAATTCTCTCTCCATCTCCTTAAATTCATCTTGTGAAAAGATAACTTGTGCCACTGGACTGGGTGTCAGGACAAAACACAGTACAACCACATAAGAAAAATAACTTTGTTATTTAGCATATATAATCTTATCAAAAGTACTTCATGATATCACATCCATAACTGTTTGAATACTAGCTCAACTGTTACATGGACCTGTTATAAATAATGAACATAACTACTGAAGTATATGACTAGTCACCGGGAAATAAAAACAGAGCCACGACACATATAAAGTTCCCCAGGGCACGTGCTTTGGGGAGCTAATTAAAAATACCGAGGTCCCTGGGGAATGTGTAAAAGGATCTTTTTTCTATGAATCCCTAAAGCAGTAACAGTTTTTGAAGGAGCATGTGAAGTTCAACATTTGATGCTTTAAGAATTACGGTCATGGTTTTTTTTTCTCAAATGGAAAATTATTTTTTGATTTGTTGTGAAACATACAGGCTGTGCCAGGAAAAATTTCATCTATTTCCCTGAATTCATTATTAATAATTTTAGATGGCTCTGTTCTACTAGTTGTTTGGCCCAGATTCCTGCAAATCAATTTCCTTTTCAGGAAGGTTCTCTTCCTGAGAGACAATGAGGCTGCTGCTTCTCCCTGTGATGGGCCAGTGTGGGGGGGAGAGGGAAGAGGTGACACCAAAGTATGATGAGGGATCTGCTGTCAACCCAAGGAGACGTGTGGCACCTAGCCATGGCGAGTATCTTGCCCCGCATGCCTGGAAACAGGGCTCACAAGGCCAACAGTAGTTATGAACCCCAGAAAGGGAGCATGACCAGAACCAGGGTGCCCTTCACCTGGTGTTTGGTGGGGTAATCCTCTCCCCCCACGCCAGTGTGCACCTAGTATTTACCTGCTTGGCTGTGGACACACTTGTCTGAGTTTATACAGTAGAAATGACATCAGTTGGTCAATTCATTCTGTGGCAGGTGTTGAAATTAGTTTAGAAGAGAGAAGAGAGCACTCCCTTTATACCTCCGCAGCCTTTGGCATAGTAAAGCTTAGAATTTCTCCCTCTGGAATGGAAAGGGAGAGGGGTTTTCCTAAATTAAAATGTATGCCCTCCTTGCACTATGTTCAATAGCCGATTTTTATTCCCATTGCTTTCCAAAAACAGAAGCAATCTATTAAGTCCTGATCTAAGTTCTAGATATGAGGGTGCAAAAAAATTAAAGCCAACGTTTCTGCTAAAGGGTTGAGGTTCATGTTTCCCATGAAACATGAAGTGGCTTTACAAAACTGTGGCAAATTTCACCCCCCAACATGGCTTTTCCATTAGGTTTGGAGCAGAAGTTCTGTTTAGGCAGTAAAGCTTTAGTTTTTTTATCCATAACTAAAACATACATTAGGAATAACAACGCCTTATTATGTCTTATCTTTGAAAAATATAATTTGGGCATACAGAGTACATATTTAGTCCCATGGTACAGTCTAAGTTTTGAAAATCTGATGAATAATTATTTTATAAATTGACCTGATTCAGCAGACTGAGATGATAAAATACAAGTTGTTGTGTGTTTTACTGGCAAATATCTAGAATAGTCTCAGAAATCTCAGATATCACTACCTTTAATTCATTCTGTTAATATATTATCCTAGCCTCTGGCCAAACATGCCGCTTGGTTGCATTTTATGAGCATTTGACAATAAAGATGATGATTATATTTCTAAATACAGTTCACTGTTAACAAAAAAGGTAATAAAATTCTTCATTTAAAAAAAAAATCAAAGACAGATCATTTCTCATAAAGCCTGTGCATAATTTTTTTTTTTCAGCATTCATCCATCCACACCCTTTAAATACTGCGTTCCACAAGCAGGCAAACATTAAATAGATTCCAGATGGGAATCGACAGCTGCTCAGTTCATCTCTTTGTGAAGCCGTGGACGGCAAGGCCTTCTGCTCTGAAGATTGGATTCTGGAGAGATTGAAGGGGCAGGCAAGGTGCTAGAAAAGCAGCATTAAGAATGTGTTTGCTTTCAGCCTTAACATTTTGGTGGACAATCACATGGGATTTTGCATGAGGAAGAAATAGTGGGGTACAGTGTTGGAGAAAAACGGCTACTGGCTGACTGCACGGAGTCCTGCATTTATAACCTGATGGGAACGAGGGAAGGGAAGGCTGTTGTCACTTGAGATTCACAAACAGAAGCTCTTCCTGTCGTTCTGAAGAAAGCAGACTGAAAGTGGCATACACACCCAACCGTGGTTCTCTTTAAACAAGTTTTCCCAGGAGGCGAGTTAAATGATGTAGGCTAAAAGGAGATGGAAAAATAAAACCAAACACAAACCTTCCAGAAATATAGGGGGAAATTGCAGGATGGGAAATGGGAACCCCAACATGAGCAAACAGGAGTTGTGACAACCATCATTTGTGAGGCTCGAGACAAGGGCGGAGGTCCCTGAACAGGCAGGTGGAAAGCTGTTCTGATGTCAAATGAGCAAGTGGACTTGAAGAAACCTGGAAGCTGCCCATTAAAACCAAGAGCTTTCCCAACAATATGACAAAGGAGCAGACGCTCCTGCTGGTCTCTTGAGCACTCACTCTCACTCTTGCTCCTGTGTCTATCTCTTTCCAGAGAAAGCTTTTTCTGGAACATGCTTCCCTCTGGGACCCAGAGGTGTGTGAGCAAACACTAGCTCAGTGGGAAGTCTGGAAAGATACCCCTTTCCCAATTGCTTCCCACATTTGCTGAGGAAGGGAAATTCAGGAGGAGGTCTGCAAGAACTAGAACTTGGACTAAATTATGGAAAACTAAGGAGAAATGGGAATAGTGGGAAGGAAATTTCTGCCAAACAAGGAAAACTGTTGTTTTTTCCCCTCCCTATCCAAGAGAACTTTCAATAGTGTATTATTCTCTATGTTGGCAAGCTTGGCTGGCCCCAGACAAGGACTTCTAATTCTCAAGGAGCAAATTTACCTGCCTCTGCTGATTCAGTGGGGTCTCTGTTCAAGGTTCTCCTTCCTGGCCCACCAATAACCCAAGCCAGCAACCTCCTTCCAGCCCTGAGCTCCACTGTCCATCAGTTCAACCTGTATCACATCCTAACGGCACCTTCTGGACACGTGGGCACAGCCAGGGAATTCTGCACCTCTCCCTAAGGGTCAGCCACCCTTATTTAAAAAATAATCTGTGATTTACTAAGCAAATTGCCTCATTTGATCAAACAGCTTTAAAATGTCCTGGCAAACCAGGAGCCCATTGTTCTAATGTGAATCAGGGCACTGTATACATTTATTTTGTTTTGAAAAGAGGATTTATTCCTACAGCTACAATAACTTTCCTTATAGATAAGCACGGCATGAACCCTTAATAGGCGTATTTGAATTTTAAAATGTGGCAACCCATATGACAGAAATATATGACTGTAATGTTCCTCTGTCTTCTCTAATCTCCACCCCTTCTCTCTTTAATCAAAATTGGGAAACAAGGTTGGACAAGAGGATAGAATATTTAAAATCTATTATATTGGCAAGGAAAAAGAATTATCCACCAAAGTAAATATACATCATCTCCCCCTTTTAACTGAAGAGGCTTAATGTTGATACTGAGGAGTTAACAGTCTAATTTGGACACATATCTACTGTTTTTGTAAGTAAACTCACATTTTCTTAAAGCTCCCCTTGCCATTTTTCCCTTTTTGATATTCTGCCAAATTTTAAGACACTGTGAGAGTACTTGATTCAGAAATCCAGAAGTTCCTGAAAAAAAAGGAAGTAAAAGAAAAGTTCCAACGTAGACCACCCCAACCGGCTCTCAGCGGGAAGCATGCGAATCCATCTTTTACTCCCTCATGTCCTCAGTGGGTCTGGCAGGGGACTCTGATGATAGTATTTGGAAGAAGAGAAGTAGGGAGAAGGCTGGAAAATAGTAAAGAAAATAAAAATGTATCTTTTCTAGGTCTCCAGTGGTGTTTGTTTTTTTCTTTAGATGATTTAACTGCAGGTGAAAACACTGTTCTCTCCTCTTCCTTTGGCATGAAGATGTTGGGGTGCGCTAAGGAGAAAAGTCTCCGGGGGCTCCCAAGTCTCTTGTCTCAGTTCTTTTCGGGTAGTCATCTCCAGAGGCAAAGTCCATGGTTTCTGGATAGCTGGAAAATTCCTGACGTGAAGGGAACTCCTGAGTCCGGTGCCCTAACACCTTTTCCTGCAGCTCTGCGATGTCATTGCGGATGTCAGCCAGTATAAGCAGCAGGAAGTCGAAAGAACCAGGGGGTCCCTGTGCACATAAGAGGAATCAAAGCCAAGACACCACAGACTCAACCCTTTGCTAAGTGATGGCTTCCACAGGCTCCATGATTTGCTAGTTGCACAGCTTGCTGGCAACTATTTAGTTAATAATTCCGTGTCCCAAATGGAGCAAACACAGGGACTACTATAGTAGCCTGGGGGATGCTTAAGACTGCCTTCTAATTCCCTCAACTCCCATATGAGCTTCAGTGACATATTCACCTCTCTTTCCTCCTAATTCTAGGCTATATCAAATCTGGTAGGATGAAAGAATATGAGAATGACCCTCCTAAGGTTCCTTTCCAAAGAAACCTGGAAAATACTCATGAAGGCCGTAGAGTAGTTGTTAAGAGGTTGGGGTTCTGTTGGGTTTGAATCTCAGCTCTGCCACTTACTAGCTGTGTGGTCTTGGGCAAGTTACTGAATTCCTTTGGGTTTTGGTTCCCATTCTGTAAAATGGGGATATAATAGCTTCAATTTCATCGAGTTCATAAGGTTCATAGCTGAGGATTTAAGTGAGTTAATACCTGTAAAGGGCTTAGAGCACAAAAAATGCTCACAATGTTATGCTATATTTTTTAAATGAAATTATTAAAGTGTTTATAAGCATGGTTGACTATAACTGCAACCTAAAGGTAGTTGAAAGTATGCTGTCAAGTCATCCATTCCTCATTGACCAGGAAAGGTCCAAGCAAAGGCTACCTAATTTTTCTGTTGATTGAACACGTTTTATCATTATGCAGTATTTATTAAGCCTTAATTTCTGGGCAGTGCTGTGTGGGGCACGGTAATATAATGCGTGAGCATGCATCTTCTGGGCTGGTTGGTAGCCTGTAGTCAAATCTTGATCACCCCCCCAGCTCCCCCCCAACCTTTGCTGCCGCGGCTACCACCTTAGAAACAGCAGTTTACATTTGCAAAGCACTTAGTGATGTACAGTATTTTGACATCATTTGACCCTTACAATAACCACCTGAGTGTGGCAGATCAGATTCCACTCGGCACTGCACAGGCACTGCCCAAAAATGCTAAGTGGCATGGCCACAATTAGAGAGCCAACAGGTAGAAGAGATGAGATGGGAACCCAGACCTCCCACCTCCAAGGCCAAGGCTCTTTGCCACTCTTCAGAAATTACACTGACCTCTTCAAAAGCAAGGGAGCTGCTTGAATTTTCTGTGCTTTTGAATACTAACTTTCATTTTTAATCTCCCAGACACCACACATACATCCAGCTAATTTCTTCTCAGTGGTCCCACGCGGCCTTGTATGTCTCTGCACTGTCTGCAGGGGACGGTCATCTGACCCGCTAGGATTATAGCAGTGGCTAAATTCTGAAACATTCAGATTTATGACTTAATCCCACAGATTTCTTTTCTAGTCCTTTCAGATGTTTTATGACATACCTGGAAACAGACTCATGGCATACTAGGGTTTTGAATCTTAGGAGGAGACATTCCAAATAAAGATTAGCCACGATAAAAGAAAAAACAACAGAAAATGAATTTTCAAAATAAATCCCCATGAGCTGCTAACGGTCTCTGTGACTCTCCTCCTAATCACCACCTCCTGTTTGGGCAGGCTGAGTGACAGCTGGAAGGGGCCGGCTTTTGCTAATAAGACCAACTTACAGGCTGCTCATCAGAGCTGTATCCCTGAGAACATCCCCACTGGGGAAGCAGTTCAGATAGTGCTACTTACTGGAGACCCTCTGGGTCCAGGTGCTCCTCTCTCCCCCTGAAAGCAGAAAAGTCAGGGTTAGCTTTCCGGACCATGTGGATGCCACCACCACAGCCTGTATTTAGACACCCCCCATAACTGTCTCCCTGCATGAAACAATAAATATTTTCTATTGAAAACAAATGTAAGCTTGAAGCTGGACTCACAGGACCACTTATTTGAACAGATCTGCTTGGGTCAAGCGTCTCTCATTCCGATTTTCCCCAAGGCCGCATATTTTCAAACCAGATCTGACAGGAGGAATGTGTGTATTTCCAGGCAGCGTGTGGAATAACTTAGAAGCTTTCTAAAGTAACTCACACTGACTTCTTTATGATGCAGGTAGCATGCAGCTCTCGAAATGAAACCTCCCACTTGCACAGAATGGAGCTTCTCCTGTTCTTGACTTAAATATATCAAAGAAATGGGGACACACAAAGAATATCCCTACAAAAGAACACCAGCTAAAGAGAAAAACACATACTAATATTACAACACGGAGGCTTGTTTAAAATTTATAGGGTAATCTTTCTTAGGAATGGCTTTGGTTGTTTTTGTTATTACAGTTGTTTCATATTTTAAGTAAATTGCTTTTTAGATTTTCTTCCCAGCTTTGGGGAAAAAGTGTGTCTGTGTCTCAATTTTGCCACATGCAAGATGGGGACAGTAAACAGTGTTTTAGCTTCCCTGATGCCTGCACAATAGGTCAAAACTGGGCAGCCTCAGGCTTTGAAGGACCACTCTTAAGACTCACCTTAGAACCATCTCTTCCTGGTGCACCTGGTGGACCCTACAAGACAAAGGGATCCAGTTTAATAGAAGGAAAAAGCATGGCATGAGAACACGCTTTCCCCAGCAACAGTAAGCGGATCTCTGATAAAATACTGACCACGGGGCCCCTCCGGCCTTGCTTAACGTGGGACAGATCAGGAGATGGGCCCATGGGTCCCATTGAGCCCCGTGGGCCGGGCTGTCCAGGAGGCCCTGGCACACCTGGAAAGCCTGGGCTGCCTTTTGGTCCTGGTGAGCCTGTAATCAAAGAACACCTCATTAGAGCCACATCTGTGAGGAGGACAAGGGGCTCCGGCTGACAAGAGAGTCTGCGAGCCCCCTGTACCCATTTCTCTTTGCACTCTGCCCTTTGCCCTCTGATATCTCCAAAATGCCCCAGAGGCATTTTAAACTTAACATGATCAAAAGTTGACATCCCCATCCCCCTTTCTTTTCAAGGACCACCAGTCACCCACCCACTCAGTCCAGAACCTTGCGAGTCTTCCTACAGATTTCCCTATTTCCACAACCTCCTTATCCAATCAGTGACCAGTTCTATACAGTTTACCTCTTTAACATCTCATAACTGTCTGCCTCTCTGTATCCCCTCGATCACAGGAAGGTGGTAGTTAATATAGCTGGACAGTGGTTGAGAGTACAGGTTTCAGCAACAGAGAGACCTAAGTTTGAATCTTGGACAAGCTGCCTGACCTCTTTGAATCTTAGTTTCTCATCTATGATCTGGGCTAATAAAAATCTAACTTATCGAGTGGTTGTGAGTATCAAATGAGAGTTTCAATACAGGCACACCACTTGGCACAGCATCTCACACTTGCAAGCACTAAAAAAAATTCTGTTAGGCCTTCCTTTTATTGACCTCAACTCTTTCTTGAGGTCAGTCCCTCCGTTTCCCACCATTCTTGTTTGCCTCTTCACCAGTCCCTCTGTTTCCCACCATTCTTGTTCGCCCCTCACCTGTTCTCACACTTCTATGGGAATATTATTTCTAAAACAAGTCTTATTGCATAACTTTCCTACTTTCAACCCTTTGGGGCAAAAGCCACTGAGGTGGGACAGCAAACTCTCCTGCAGGACCCAAATAGCTACTACTATGGGGGGAAGCAGGAAACTCGCTCCTGTTCAACATTTGCCACAGACTCAAGGCAGAGCTGGGCTGCCACAGCAGGGAGAAGATCTCACCCCAAGGCCCAGATGCACAGGTCATGCTGAAGACTGCAGCTGCACCAGAGAACTGAAAATTCCCCTACCCCCCCAAATCTACCGCAGAGTAAGAAGGAACAGCAGTCTACCACTGGGGGAAGAGCAAGAATGTGGAGAGAGAACCCCTCTGAAGTGCAGATGTGTAGGGGCTGCCGAAAGCTGAGAACCACTGAGAAAAACCCATCAGCATCCTAGGCCCCTACTAAGCATGTAGTAACAGTATCCTACCATTGGAGGAATTTGAAAATTTGAAGACTGTGGAACACTGGAGGTAAAGACAGTAACAATAAACCCAAACCCAGCTCAGTTATTCATTAGATTGACTCATTTCTCCCTGTTAACGGCCTGACAAAAGAAGAGGATACCCATCTCCAGGAGTAATTACTATGTACCTCAGTCTCTACTTTTCCTTTACAAATGATATCTGGCATTGAATCAAAAATTTTGGGGCACAGAAAAAAAGCAAAAAAAAAAAAAAAGCCAAAACAATTAAAACACACACACGCAAAACAAACAACCCCCATTGTCAAGAGATAGAACAGTCAACAAAATCAGACTCAGAGGTGACCCAGATGTTAGGATTATCATACAGGGACTTTAAATTAACAGTGATTAATATGTCAAAGGTGCTAGTGGAAAAGACAGCTTGCTTGCACAGATGGGGAATTTCAGCAGAGAGACGGAAACTAGAGGAAAAAAAAGTCAAACGGAAATGCTGGAAATAAAAAGCATAATTATCAGAGATGAAAAACTTCTTTGATAGGCTTATCAGCAGACTGGTCATAGCTAAGGATATAATCAGTGAACTTAAAGGTAAGTCAACAGAAGTTATCCAAAATGAAACACAGAGAAACAAAGAAGAAAATAAAACGCAAAACTGAGCATCCAAGAGAGGCAGGACAACATCAAATAGTCTGACATACATGTAATTGGAATCTGAGGAAAAGAAGTAGAAAAGCCGGCAGTGGCCCCGTCTGCATACAGAACAAAGATCAAACTCTTCTGCTGTAGTGGTATACTAGGCTGTTCTTGCTTCCTCTCTGGGCATTGTTTTTCCCCACTGCCTCCCTTCCTAATCACCTCTCAGGCCCCATTCTTTCTGAATAAACCCCGCTACGGCGCACCACCCAGCCTAGATTATTCTAGATTATTATTCATATAATCACCATAGACCACATTTCTCCAAAAACGTCTTGACGCTCCCTTCTCTACAAGAGAATTAACAGCTTACTTCATTGTGCACCATTATACTATACATATAGTATAATGTGTGTGTGTATGTGTATATGGATATATCTGTATATAGATAGATGTATAGAGGTATACATGTACATACAGATCTCTCTATGTACACAAACATATATACAACAAATACACACATACTCTACAAGTATATGTACCCTGTTTATGTATACTACTATGCTCTGAATTTCCTAAAATTGAAAAATAGGGAGATGTCATATAAAAATCTGGGTTTCTGGCTTCTGTTTAAAAACAGGAAGAACTAAAACCTGGACCACTATCCTCCCGTTGTGCCAAGGGAGCTGGCGCTTTATGGAGGGCTGCCCTTTAAATGGGGCCACGTGCTCTAGGGTTTAGTTCAATTCTCCTTACTCCCTATTGCTCACACCCAGCTCCCTTCATTCCTCTATGCTACCTGCCTGGTCCCTGTAGACATTAAGGGTTTTTACAATAATTTTTAAAATTCTTTTCAGCGGCCTAAATCAACAGAGCACAGAGAGTATATTGAGTTTAAGGACAAGCTATAGGACTGCTTTTGTGCCTGCTTGCTAATAATCGTTTGTATGTGTGCCAGAATTTGGTCATACCACCCATCATGGGGGTTGATGGGGAAGAGACTGATAGGTCTCATCTACCTTTAACCACAGACACAGAGAGTTGTAAACAGCCACTTTGGCTTGGGCTGGACTTGCAGGGGGGTTAGGGTATCCCCTTGACTTCTGTACCTACCTGCTACACTGGAGGGAATACCTCCTGGCTCCACAGGGGTTGTGGCTGCTAAGCAGGGGGTTGGCACCTTGGTGCAGACTCCAGCGTGTTCACCTTGGCATTAGGCCTTGAACATCAGTGGTGGGGATGAGGGAGAAGGGAGTGGGCACTTTGGGAGTATTTTTTTAAAAATTGCAGTAAACAACATGTAACATAAAAGTTAGCATCTTACCCATTTTTAAATGTACAGTTTACTAGTTCACATTGTTGTGCAACAGATCTCTGAACTTTTTCATCATGCAAAACAGAAACTGTATACCTATCGAACAACAGCTCCTCATTTCCCCCTCCCCCTGGCAACCACCATTCTGTATCTATGAATCTGACTACTTTAAATACCTCATATAAGTAGAATCATATGGCCTTTGTCTTTTTGTGACTGGCTTATTTCACTTAGCATAATGTCCTGAAGGTTCATCCATGTTATAGCATGTGACAGGATTTCTTTCTTTTTAAGGCTGAATAACATTCCATTGCATGCATATACCACGTTTTGTTTATCCATTCATCTATTGATGGACACAGGTTGCTTCCACCTCTTGGCTATTGTGAACAGTGATGCTATGAATATAGGTATACAAACATCTCTTCAAGATCCTGCTTTTAATTCTTTTGATATATACCCAGAAGTGGGACTGCTGGATCATATGGTAGTTCTGTTTTTAATTTTTTGAGGAACCTCCATACTGTATTCCATCGTGGCAGCACAATTTTATATTCCCACCAACAGTACATAAAGATTCCGATTTCTTCACATCCTCACCAACACTCGTTATCTTCTGTTCTTTGATAGTGGCCAGCCTAATGGGTGTGAAGTGATGTCTTGTTTTGATTTGCATTTCTCTATGATTAGTGATGGTGAGCATCTTTTCATGTGCTTATTAGCCATTTGTATATCATCTTTGGAGAAATGTCTATTCAAGTCTTTTGCTCATTTTTAAATCAGATTGATTTTTTGTTGAATTAGAGGAGTTCTTTTTATATTCTGGGTATTAGCCCCTTATCAGATATATGATTTGCAAATATTTTCTCCCATTCTATAGAGTGCCTTTCACTCTGCTGATTGTATCCTTTGATGTACAAAAGTTTTTAAGTTTGATACAATCATATTTGTCCATTTTTACTTTTGTCACTTGTGCTTTTTGTGTCATATCCAAGAAATCAATGCCAAATCCCATGTCATGAATGTTTTCTCCTAGATGTTTTATAGTTTCAAGTTTTACATTTAGGTCTTTAATCCATCTGAGTTGATTTTATTCTCTTCCCTGAGCAAGATTCGCCCTGAGCTAACATCTGTGCCAATCTTCCTCTATTTTGTATGTGGGTCGCTGCCACAGCATGGCTGCCAACAAGTGGTGTAAGTCAGTGCCCGGGAACCAAACCTGGGCCGCCAAAGCAAAGCATGCTGAACTTCACCACTAGGCCTAGGGGCCAGCCCCATTGAGTTGATTTTTGTATATGGTGTAAGGTAGGGTCCAACTTTATTATTTGCATATGGAAAGGCATTGGTTTTAGCCTGTTTTAGACTGCCAACTCTTTGAGGGCATGGGCTGTGTTTTAATTGGCAGCACTCTCTCAGAGACTCCCAGCAACACAGTAGGCTGCTTAGTAAATGTCTCATGTCAAACGACTGCATTGAAGAGGTTGGGCTGATTGCTGCGCCATAATTATTTCTCAGTGATGTCTCTTTCAAATGCATACAGCCAGTACTTTTTGATCATATCTAGTTCCTACTATTGGCAGAGCACAGTGACAGGATGGAATGACTTTGTTTTCACCAGAAAACAAAACAAAACAAAGAAACAAAGACTTCAGAGTTTTCATATTTGGAGAAGTCTCTTCTAGCTCACAGAACAATTAGGCTAAAAAAAAAAGGGAAGTTAATGTTCCATCCAAACATGTCTCACAGCCCTACTCTTAATGCTGGTTCCAGGTACATCCTGAAAGAGTTTATGTGGGAAGGGGACCAGACTCCTCCTATAACTAAATACTTCACCTCCAATAGCACAAGGACAGGCCAGAGAGAATACCTTACCTTCATTTACACAATCAATGAACTTCAGAGATCACTGTATGTCAAGTGCCTTTAACATGTGAGGCTTTTAAGTGCAAATTTCAGCACCTTATTTATAACAGTGGGGGCCAGAGAGCCACTCCCTCACCCCCAAAACCAAAGGATTCCCACCCAGCATAGCTTCCAGTATTGGTGCCCTAGTCTGTGATCCGTCACAGGCCTCAGGACTGGAATTTTTGTTAACAGTAAGAGAAACCTTATTCTCTCTCTAGCTGTCCTAGCGTACCTCAGTGGAGGGCATCACAAACTTTCATGCTAAGGGTAAGGAGGGAGAAGGGAACAGGACTGGAGGAGAAAGCAAGGGCACAGTCCATTGCCAAAGCTAATCCTCCATCACGCCCTGCTCCATCAAGGACCCTGGACAGCTTAAACCACGTTAGGAATCAGACGGCAGAATTGGAAGGAAAGCCAGCAAGCCATGCATTAAGAAGAAAGACAGCCAATGGCTCCCTGTTTCTAGTTTGTCCTTGTTGGAGTGATATGGGGACTGGCCTGAGATGAAGTTCCTCCAGGGAAGCAGAGCAAGAGCATTCTCTCTGCTAGGAATCAATTTGGAAGGAGAGACCCCAGTCTACTTAGCAGCAGCAAGAGGCTGCCTGTGCGTGGCATCTGCTGGTGAAAACTCCACCATGACCCAGAGTAGCTCAGGCCAAGGGAATGAGCAAGAGGATCAACCTCTTGTCCTGAACCAGTTCCTGTTCTCTGTACAGACTGAGACCCAGGCCACCTGTGTTTGATGGAAACCAGGAGATTAACACACAAGCGGAGAAGAAAACACACAGTCTTGGGAAGAATTTTGACCCTTTACTCTTACTGGCCTTCCAACCTAAAATCTGCCCATGTCCTTCCAGCTTGGACAAGTCCTACCAGTCTTTCCTGTCCAGCTCAAACCCCAAGTCCCCAACCCCGGCAGGCTACAGTGATCTCTCCTCTTTAAGCTCCCACAGCAGGAAGCACCTATGTGCTTACTTGGGGCAGACAGATACTGTTTTATTCTATTTGCTTTCACTCTCCGTGTCTTGTCTTCCTGATTAGAATGTCAGCAGGTCATTCACAGCACTTAGCACACTGCTAGCTAAGCAATGATAATCGAGAATAAGACAATCCATGCTTTAGAATCATTTACTAACACTAATATCATTTCCTTTACTAGTGTGAAAAAAATCTATTGATTTATCCATTTATGGAGGGACTCCAAATACAAAACATCTTGTAATTATTTTTTAAAGTTCTTATCGCATATTTCTTGATGGAATGATAGGACATTTGGGATTTTCTTCAAAGTAATAAGGGTGAATCTCCAAAACAGTAGGCTGAATTAAAGGAGCCAGACAAAAAGAATACACACTATGAGAGTCAGTGCTCTGAAGTTCTAGAACAGACAAAACTGCAGTGATAGAAAGTAGATTGCCTAAAGCTGGGGTTGGGGGAATAGATTGCAAATGGGCACAAGAGATAGAAATGGTCTATATCTCGATATATAGATACAGGGTGGTGGCTAGTAAGTGCGTGATAGAGGGTGTATACATTCGTCAAAAGTCATTGAACTATAATTTAAATGGGTACATTTTATTGTATCTCAATAAGGTTGACTTACAAAGAAAAATATATAGATAGATAGAAGAATAAATATTGATCTAAATATGTCGACAAATAACAGGGGAAGGAGGAAAGAAGACTGAGGAATAGTGGAAACGGGCCTGGCCATAAGTTGTCAGAGCCAGGTGATGAGCCCATAGGAGTTCATTATATCATTCTATTTTTGTAAATGTTAACGTTAAAAAATAATTTTCATTTTGTTTCTCTGTAACTTAAAATGATCTTTAAGAATCTTATCTAGGGGGCCAGCCCCGCAGCCGAGTAGTCAAAGTTCCGCGCGCTCCGCTTAGGCGGCCAGGGTTTGCGGGTTTGGATCCTGGGCGCGGACCTACTCCATTCACCAGCCATGCTGTGGAGGCATCCCACATACAAAATAGAGGCAGACTGGCACAGATGTTAGCTTAGGGAGAATCTTGCTCACCAAAAAAAAAAAAGAATCTTATCCAAACCCAGGACAATGGCCTTTTTCTCCCAACTTACTGTTGGGTTATGAGAGTTTCTCAGACTTCAGGACTCAATTTCCCAAGGCCCTCTCGTCGTACAGGTGAGGGGGCTCCATGGACTCCTGCTTCTGTTCTCATCCACAGAAGCTAAAGAAGTCCATCCATCCCCCACTAAACGTAAGCTCTCGGCAATCCCTGGCTGGGGACTCTATCACCCTTCTCTGCCCTTCTCCACACTCACCAGGAGGGCCCTGGCCCCCAGGCAGGCCAGGGGGTCCTGGAAGGTAGGCGTTTGAAGCCAGCACCTTGTCACCAGTGATGTACTTGCCCAGGCCGGCAGCACTGTTGGGGAGCAGGGCAATCTGCAAAGAGAAGAGGAACCTCAGTCAGGAAGCAATGGCTCCAGTGCCGGGAGAGTCTTTGCACTTGTGTTGTTTGCAGAGGCTGCAAAGCTGTTTCATGGTAATTCCTCTTTATCTGAGCCAGTTAGAGCCCAAAGGGACTGTAGAGATCCTGTTTCTACACCCAGAGGCCTTCTAGTGAAAACAGCTTGAACGAGGTCACTCAGCTAGTTAGTGGGTGAACCTGGATCGGCTCCAGATTGCTTAGACATCATCATCAGACTCATTATTACCATAATTACTGCAACTTAGCCATTTCTGATTTTCAATTTGTTAATTACTTTGTGTCAATTATTTGAGACCTACTCTGTGCCAGGCCCTATGCTTGGTTCTAAGGTGACAATGGTGACCAAGACATGGTCCCTGCCCTTATGGACATCTCAGCCCTGGAGCTGGTACCAAAATGTGGCTTACAGTTACCTGCACGCTCAGGTGTTTGGGAACTAGTGGGAAACAGTGACTTGTGATGGTTTTAAAACACGTCCACAAATTTTTTGACACTTAAACCTTCACAAGGTGGAGACTCATTTCCCACACTCTGACTGTGGGCTGTACTTAAAGACTTGTTTCTAATGAACAGAAAATGACAGAAGGGACAGACAGTGTAACTTCTGAGACTGGGTCATAAAAGGCTTCTTCCTTGTTCTCTCTCTTGGATTTTAGGGGAAGCCAGAGGGACCACACCAATGAATGACTTTCGCATTCCTTGAGGTCAGGTAACTGTGAATCTGTGAGACCTTCAGTAAGAATGGAATGCTCGGGGCCGGCCCCGTGGCTTAGTGGTTAAGTGCGCGCGCTCCGCTGCTGGCGGCCTGGGTTCAGATCCCGGGCGCACACCAACACACCACTTCTCCGGCCATGCTGAGGCCGTGTCCCACATACAGCAACTAGAAGGATGTGCAACTATGACATACAACTATCTACTGGGGCTTTGGGGAAGAAAAGGAGGAGGAGTGGCAATAGAGGTTAGCCCAGGGCTGGTCTTCCTCAGCTAAAAGAGGAGGATTGGCATGGATGTTAGCTCAGGGCT